TTCAAAAGTTATAAATTATTTTACTATATAGTTATTTTTTTGATATTAAAAACATTTATAAATAGCAAACAAATAAATTTTTTTTTATTAATAAAATATGTCAATTCCTAAAATAAATATAATACAAGAAATATTATTTAATGAAAAAAAGTGTATCAAATTTCTATTAAAAAACCAACTTATTAATAAATAACCAAATAGTTGCTCAAAATGTAACAATACAGAATTTTACTGTCGATATAATTTATAGATATGTAAAAACACAAATTGTAATAAGACAATTTCAATATATTATAATTTATTCTTTAGTAAAAGATGTTTAAAAAGCAACCAGATCTTATCACTTAGCTATTTTTAGATTTCAAAAGCACATTATACAACACTTAAATATTTAACAGGATTATCACCAAAATCGATTAAAAAATATACAAAAATATTTCATGATTTAATAATAAACACATTAACAGTTAATGATAGCAGGCTAGGAGGAGAACGTAAAATTGTAAAAATAGATGAATCTAAATTTAAAAAAGATGTTTTATTGTGAGTTGTAGGATTAACTAAAAAAAAAATCTAACAAATATTATTTTGAAGTTGTACAAGACAGAAATACAAATACTCTTACAAGAATTATAAAAAAACATGTTATTCCAGGAACAAAAATCTATTTAGATAGTTGGCGTGGCTATCAAGAATTAGAAAAATTAGAAATGAAACATATTCATGTAAATCATTCAAAGCATTAACTCAAAGACAAAGATTAAAAAAAATTCATAGCAATACAATCAAAGGTAAATAAAAATTTTAATTTTATTAATTTAAATATAAAATATATTAATAATCTATTAATAAATTAGGTTTTTGAAATGGAATAAAATTAAATATTTTAATAAGAGATCAAAATTTTGATACAATTACTCCATATCTTCAAGAATTTGTATAGCATCAAAAAACAAGAACAGATTGTGGGAAGCATTTTTAGAAGCAATCAAATCTTATAAAAATA